CTTCAAACCAAGTCTCTTACACAACAAATGTTGTGAGGACATTGTGCCCAAATATTTCCTCTGTAAAGTTACAAGTTTATACATAAACAACCTTGCTGAGAATGTGAAGAACTGTTCATGAACAGTTCACAAACAGTTAATGCTTTAAGTTCATGAGTTACTCATGAGCTGTTCCTTAACACTAAATGTCCGTTTATGAACTTCGTGCATGAAAAACATTCATGAACTGTTTGCAAACTTATTCCTGAACTGTTCATTCAACAGTTCATAAATATTCATGAACAATTCACGAAGTTAAGTTCATTAACTTTTTGAGATCAGTGTTCATGAACTTAACACTTGAAGAACATGTGAGGAACTTCTTTTTTGGCAGTTGGCAAACTGTTCATCAACTACAAATAAATTGTGAAATTTTTTCGCTGGGGAAGGTCTATTGGTATGCACTTGGACATTTCAACAAAATAATTCATGAGGACATTTTGTATAGTCCTAACAGGAGACTAGTTGAGATGATGGTTAAGATTAGGCCATTTATGGTTAGGCCAAGGATAGGGTAAGGGTTAGGCATAATTTGGTTACGGTTTGGGACAAGCTGTATGGTATGAATATAATTCTGTGTTCTCACATGTACAGTTATACAAGCGTGTGTGTTTGTGTGTATCCGTGCATGCATATGTGTGCATGTACTTTCGGATAATTGAGATTGCCGAGTCCATAAGGCTCAGTCATATAAGGTCAAGGTCAAATTTGTTTATAAAGCACATTTTAAAACAACTCTCGCTGCCCAAAGTGCTGTACAGGATGTATAATTAAGAAAAGAAAAGGAGAAAAAATACATACATAAAACACAATTGAGAGCGTGGAACATCTAAGAGCAGCTTATTAGTGGACCTCATTGTTCTGGATGGGTTGTAATTGCTTAGTAACTCTGACAGATAAGAAGGAGCCATACCATTAAGAGATTTAAAAACCAATAATAAAATTTTAAACTGGATCCTGTAAATGACAGGAAGCCAGTGCAGTATGGCTAGCACTGGAGTGATGTGGTCACGACGTTTTTTACCAGCTAACAGACGTGCAGCCGCATTTTGGACCATCTGCAGACGGCTTATTAAAGCCTGGTCCAAGCCAGGATAAAGAGAGTTGCAATAGTCAAGCCGTGATGAAATGAGCAAGTGGCTTGACTTTGGCTAGGGTCCTCAGCTGAAAAAAAAATAGTTTTGACTACTGCAGTGATTTGCTTATCCAATTTGAAGGAATTGTCAAATAGAACTCCAAGATTTCTAACACAAGGGTGAATGAAGGAAGATAAAAGACCAAGTGCACTGTCAACACCATCTAAAATATCTTGATTACCATATAAAACTATTTCTGTTTTTTGGTCATTCAGACAAAGGTAATTAAGAGACAACCAGTCTTAAATGTCTTTGAGACAGTTTAACAGGGCTAGAAATGAACCGCTGTGGGGCTTAAGAGGTAGATATATTTGTAAATCATCAGCAAAGCAATGAAAGGAAATGCCATGCTTTTTAAAAATGGACTCTAGAGGGAGAAGATACAAGGAGAAAAGGACTGGGCCTAAGATGGAGCCTTGAGGCACACCACAGCAGAGTATCTTGACACTTACCATTCAGAAGTGGCTCTAAACGGAGAAGGTCCTCCTTGACAAGTATGAAGTGAACCATTTATGAACAATACCTTTTATGCCAACACATGTTTCTAGTCAAGAAAGCAGTGTCTGATGGTCAACTGTATCAAAAGCCGTGGTACTATGTACTATGGCGTGCTTTAAAACCTGATTGAAATTTTCATAGATATTATTAGATTCAAGGTGGAACTGCAATTGAGAGTAGACCAATTTCTCCAAAACTCTAGCAAAGAACAGAAGTTTAGAAATAGGCCGGAAGTTAGAAAGAGAATTCGAATCTAGGTTGTGTTTTTTGATGAGGGGCTGCACAACAGCTTGTTTAAAAACTGAAGGAACACAGCCAGATGAGAGAGAGGAGTTGATGAATCCCAGCACAAAAGACCCTACAGCATCAAAAACATTCTTCAGCAGACTGGTAGGAAGACAGTCCAGGGGGCAGTGAGATGGTCTCACGGACAGGACTACCTTGACAAGCTCAGTAAGTGGCACAGGCTCAAACTGCTCAAAGACAGCTGAGCTTGCGGGGTGGGGGGGGGCAGAGGGGTCTGGGACACAAGAGCGTGAGACAGAAGATCTAATCATAAAGACCTCATTAGTAAAGAACTGGGGGAACCGGAATATAAGAATACAGCAGGCATTAACGTATTACCCATATTCTCATTTCAAGTTGAAAATAATGAATTTAAAGATAAAATCCATGGACAACAACTAACGACAGGACACACTCCAAAACACTCCAAAACCTCTATAAACGGAGACAGAGAAAATAGCAAAGCGTCACCGTCATTCATCATGAAAACAGAAAGTAACTATTTGTTGATCCATTGTTTTTAACTGCAGGACTGAACAAAACACGCTAAAATTATTGTAACAGGATTGCTGTATAGGGTGACCTTTAATAACAAGTATGGCTACATTTTTTTGCCCGCGCTTTGAGATGAGCATAGCAGTGAGTCTCCCAAGAAGTGTGCTTTGGGTACACTGAAATAAATATAAAAACTGATAATTTGTGTAAATCTCATGGCTTTTTTTATTTCAAAAAAGCATCAGTTCTTTATTTACATTTTGTCCAAAAAAACATTTAAAGGTTTCAAGGACTTTACATTGTAAGTTGATTTCAAGCAACAAACATAATACAACAGTAGTAGTCTTCGAGAGCGAAAAGTAAACTTTGGTTCCCAAGTAGCCAAATGTGCGTCAGCGCTAACTCAATCCATCTGCAATGGAGAAAGTGTTTTCTACAGTAAACAATATTTAAAAATATAAATTCATCATTTGCAATAGTTAAATTTGAAATTTGTATTATTATTATTATTATTATTATTGCTATTGTTATTATTTAAGTTTTTTCTTTGTAGTTGGATTGAGTAGACCCCAATTTCTTAACTGATTGAGTGAAAAAAAAGGATCAGCAATAACTTTGAGATTGTCATTCAGTGTCATCACTTAGAACAGCAGCTAGTGGAGGCATAATGAAATTATTACAAGATAATAATGCTGCAATAACAAAGCGCTTTTTCCAAACCTCCACTTGGTGCTACTTGTATAGCTCAGGCTCTGTTATATGAGGAATGCTCAAATTTTTTTGCTCTTTTAACCTTTTATCTATGTGTAAAGCACTTTGTAACCTTGGTTTAAAAAGGTGCTATATAAATAAAACTTTACTTACTTACTTATAATCTTCGACTGCCATTAACCACCAAATACAGTGCAGTAATGTGCATCAACAATGCCATGCCAGTCATGGAGAAATGAAATCCAATATTGCAGAGTGACATAGTTAAATATGCCCAATATTGATCTTTCCGTCACTCTGACTGTACAGTTCAGTTTTCATTTAATTAGAGCCAAGATGGTGGGCAGTTTGTACTTTCTGAGTGTGCATTGATTTGAGAACGTGGCACTGCCGCCTCACAGCAAGAAGGTCATGAGTTCGAATCCGGCCCGGGGCCTCTCTGTGTGGAGTTTGCGTCGTCTCCCCGTGTTCGCATGGGTTTCCTCCCAGTACTCACGTTTCCCCAACACACAAAAACATGCATCATAGGAACACTCCTATCAGTACCCCTAACTGGCTTTTGAACTGATGTTGGTCCCCGGGTGCTGCTCTGTGGAGGTCCTCCGCTCCTAACCATAGAATGGATTAAGTGCAGAGGACAAATTACCCAACGAGGCTCAAATAAAGTATATCTTATCTTAAATTGACAACAGAAATACGAGTGATGCCTTTAACGAGGGGTAAAGGTAAGGCAAATCAGCTGAGCTGTGTGAGTCATCATATTCCTCGGTGCTCTAGAGCAAATTACAAGAAAAAGAGGCTGCTTCAGACTCTCTGAACGCTAGCCCTTGTTTCCGTAGGCACCCTCTGAAGATCTAATGAGCTGTTTAATTGTATGGATGTCTGTGAGATCCTGCCTTCGAGACAGGAAGCGTTATGCTCTGTGACGTGGCTTAAGAACCAAAACAGCACGCACGCCCTGTGATTTTGTACATAGTTTTTCATCTACACTTTATGCATACAATCAGGAAAAACACCAGGGAAATCTGTTACTGGTTATACAGTATCCTTTGGGATGAGCATTATCGTAACACATAGCGAGGTCAGCAGGCTATAGATTAGCTAATTTTGAGTCGCTAATTTGAGCCCCCTATGGGGCTTGGGATTCTGAGTTGCTTCAGGTTATGGTGACTTGGGAAGAATACTGCGAGGCCCTTGTGTACGGCCCTCAACCCCAAAACAGCTCGAGGGGCTTTAGCCCTGTGCTTGTCCCTCGCTCTCCATAATTACAACTCTTTCACCAGGAATTTTTCATAGGACATCCTTGAAAAAGAGAATTGTGTTCTCGGTGAACCTTCCCTGGTTAAAAATGTAAAGTTAGGCTTAAAATATAAGTTTCTGGTTGAACTAATGGATAAATGCAAAGGAATGTTGAATTCAGGGCCAAGTAATTAATGCAACCTTTGTCCTTCTCCACTTGGCGGGCAAACTACAGATGAAAAAAATCAGTCTTTGTATCTTTCTTCCTTTTTGAAATGCTGAATTATGAGGGGGTGCTTTTTTGAATATCCATCCATCCATTATCTAAACCATGTCTTCCTCACTAGGGTCACGAGGAAGCTGGAAACTACCCCTGCTGACTATGGGGAAAAGGCAGGGACATACCCTGCACAGCTTGCTAAGCCATCCCCATGGGTACACAACCATTCACACACCATTCATTTGCACACTCATACCTATGGGCATAGTCTCCAACTAACCTAACATGGATGTTTTTTGGCCTTTGGAAGGAAACTGGAGTACCCGGAGGAAACCCACGCCAACATGGGGAGAGCATGCAAACTCCACACATAAAAATGCCCCAGACAGGATTCAAACCCATGACCATCTTCCTGTAAGGCAATAGTGCTACCCACTGCACCACCGCCCTGCCAAAAATGATATTTCAAACTGTAAAGCAGGAGACAGGAAAGTGGTAAAATTTCAAAACACTCACTGCTCCATTCTAAATTAGAAACTGAGGAAATTTTTGCGGATCAATTTTGTATTTATATCACTTCTGTGGATCAATAACAGATATTTTAGCCTCGCTAGACGCCACTGGCTCCACAAAGATGTTAAATTCCTGCTCAGCAGGGAGGCTTGAAATCAGTAAACCATCGAACAAAAGTCCAATGATCCACTGTGACTGGATTTAATAACTCAGGGATATAATGAACTATTTTCCCTGTGATAGACTGGTGAAAAACAGAGCAGTTGCAATTTCCCAACTGGCACTTAGCTCTCAAAAACAATTGTTCCTTCATATATTTCTTTAATGTTCAAGCACATGTGCATTTTTAAGGCCTGTATGTTAAATATTCATTTTAGAGGGGGCTGAATGCCAGTTTGGATATGCTACAAAGAGAGAAGTAATGAAATTAAGCCCTATGAAAAAGTACTTGCATAACAAAATGTGTGTCTGAGGCATAGAGGCGCAAAATGGCTGATATAGATGTTTAAACCGAACACAAAAGTTAATGGATGTATTGTTTGCCAAGAATGCATGAGGGACAAGTCTCATATCAAGAATGAGTACAACTGCCCCCTAGTGGTCAGAATATTTCTCCTAACCCAATAAGAGTTTTCCAGAGACGCATGTCCTGATGTCAGAGAGCAAAATTTCTGCCGTGCGTTTCTTCCTGTCGTTATTTCATAGATTTGCTCTACCTCCTGGGTGAAACTTTGTGTTAATTATGAAATCCAGGTGAGTGGAACAAAATAATGGGGACGCTTTTAACTTCCACAATCTGGATACACCTCTGGTGTTTATACGCGTTATTAAATTCACAGGTGTTTTATGCTCTCGCCGGCACAGTAGTCTCCACCATATGTATTGAAATTCAATTCAACAATCCCCTTGCAATGTCATTTCCACATTAGGTTTCTCAAAGCCTTTTTCAGCATTGATGTATCAAAACCTCCAATTCTTTTCATTAAGAAGACACAATTGGTATTTTTTTTCTTCACCATAGCCCCATCAGACACATTTACATTACATTCGATGAACATTGTGTTATATCACTGTGCTGTGAAGGGGTTAATGCATTTATGTGCAAAAGGCAGATTTTGCTTCAGTGATGAGCCAAGATTCTGAATGTCCTCACACTCAAAAGGAAAAACTGAACAGCTTCTCTGTGAAGTAGCGCTTCAGCTCCACTGTATAAATTCATCTGTACAGTGCTTGACTAACACCACTTTAAAAAACCAAGGAACTATTAAACATTTTGCAAGTTTACTCAAGAATCAAACACAAAAATTGATTCCACATGGTTGCAAAAAGCATAAATTACATTGTAGACAAGGTCTTGGAAATATATACAAGAAATCTAGTTTCAGTCATTTCCAGGATGGAGTTGTCCTTCTTTGTCCCTGCTTCACAGTAGTCGTCTTTCCTCTGACCCCGACTGTACTTCCACTCGGATGAAGACCGTCCTCTCCTGTGCATGTACCAGCAGATTGTGCTCAGGAGGATCATCAACATCATCACAATGGCACCCCCTATCAAGCCAGCCAGCAGTATCTGAGAGCTGGAAGTCTGCTGAGTTGCCTGCTCTGGTCCGCTGTTCTTGTTGGGCTTGCACTGAGTGGCTTTCTTGGTGGCCTCCGAGCAGAGGGCATCGCCCCCAGGACGATAACTGTTGAAGCTGTCCAGGATGTATGCTTAATTTGAGGTAGGTGGATTTAGGCTCCAGATTAACCAGGTCCATCCACTGCTGGCCCCTTTCACAGTCTTCTCCTGAACTCTTTCACCCACCAGTCAGTGGCCCATCTTGGCCCAGGAAACCTTGTAAGCGGTAACAGGGAAACCACCTGGATGCAGGGGTTGTTGGCCATTTGAAATGATATCTGCAGGAGGTCAGGGTGTGGGGGAATGGAGTGGCCTCCCATATTCTCTGCTAGTGATGGGTATGGGTAGCAGAGGGAGGAGGGATGTAAAAGATGGCAGATGCAATGGAGGTGCGTGGAGGGCTAATCCGTGACAAAGACAGGGTCCCAGTGCTTTCTGGGCACTGCAGTGCATCCAGGTTCGGCTCTCGTATTGCCCTGCCTCACACCTGCTTGGGACTCTAGCACATAAACCCCCTGACATTAGTAACCGGCGGCAGGCTTTTGAACCAGGCGATGACCCACCTGATTTCAGTCGCACCACCACGAGTTGTTGTGAACGGTCAAATGCTTCATGCTTATCAGGCTGGCAAAGATACCCCACTTCAGGGCTTGCAGCAGGTTGCTGGAGATGTCCAGCTTCTGTAGCTTGCAGAGGCCGAAGAAGGTTGACATGGAAATTTACGATAGCTGGTCGTCCTGCAGGCAGCCCCATAGCAGGAAGTCGCCAGATGTCTTGGGCGGAGGAATCATCAGGAAGTTTCAGGCCCTGGACAAGTCCCGCAGGTTGACAAAGTCCTGGAAGATCTCAGAAGGGATTCTGTTGTCCGTCAGAAGGTTCCCGATCATTGGACAGGTGATGCGGTTCTTGTCCAGACGGAGTCCCTTCAGTCCCTCAGGGAGGCTTCTCAGGTGGTTCTTGGAGAGGAACGGCATCTTGAGGCTAACGGCCTATCTGAAGGTGCCATTCTCGACTCCCACAATGGAGATGGAGTTGTTGTCCAAGTGTAGCTGCTCAAACCAGGAGAGCTGGGCCAGCGGTGCCTTAGATACCATCTGGATGCTTTTCTCCTGATGGTTGAGGACCCTCACATTATTGGGCAGGTTCACAGGGAACTCATCCTGCTGGTTGCCATATAGGTAGACGGTATCCAAAGAGGCTACATTGTGCAGCTCCAGGGGGAAGCTGGCATTGTTGACCTGGTTGTTGCGGAGGAACAAGGTCTTGTGTCCTTCCTGTATTCTTAAGGGCACTGACGTCAGGCTATGCTCATTGCACTAGATGAAGAATTTGCCACAACAGCATTCCTTTGGGCAAGCCGATGCCAAACGAAACTGTAAAATCTGTACACCTAACAAAATCGTAATTCAAGATCCCATCAAAGAAGACCTACAGTAGGTATTCCATAGTTTAGCCTGCAACTCCATAGCACAAGCTTAATCGTGGCTGCCTGGAACTTAGTTAGCTAGGCAAGAATAACAGCAGTGACAATGTTACATATGTAGCAAAAAAACAAACGCAAAATAAAATCCACTGTGTAAAAAAGAAACAGGGAGAAAAATGTTCTTTTAGAAACCTCAGGTCAGCACTAGCATTGTTGCGCTATAGAAGGTCTGAGGTAATCCTTGAGTAATTACTCATCCCAGGCAGAGTGGCTGGGGTTTACATTAGTGGCAGAGCCCTGCAGCCCATGCCAAGATATGTGATGATTGCACGGCACATCACATGCTGTAGAGGGACATTGAGATATGGTAACGGAATTAATCTGGTTACTTGGTAGCCAGCTGGATCTTTCCGCATAATTTTTGTGCCAAAACTCAATAGCTAAATTCCAGGACTGTTGCTTCTTCAGTAATGCCTCTTCAACATCTAATCACGCACTCAATTACGGAAAAACTGAGCATAAAAGGCCAATTGTATTTCTTTTGTACCTGAGTTTAGAGGGAACGGGGACGGACACTCGCACTTCATCGATAGAGAGGGTTCGGTGGGAATGGGGTGGTGACTGAGATCGGGCGAGGTTCCCCCTCATGCTGGTAGGTGAGGTTGACCATGGAGATGGAGCCGTCCGGCTGCTCCACCAGTGCATCATAATCCTGACTCCTCTGCTCCCACAATCGCTTCTCGGCCTCCTCGGAAAAATTGTTCTCCTGCTGCTCTACTTCCTCCTGCAGGGACAGAAGGCTTAAAAAAAAAAAAAAAAAAAACATTCAAAAACAGGCCTACAGCACTTGAGTGTTATGGAAAAACCTAGTAAGTCTAATTTCGGTCAAAACGGAGTTAGGTCCATTTTTGTACTTACTAGGCTTTGTCCCATCACATATAGTAAGATGCATTAAAAAATAATCCCTGATTACCTACGTTTTGCTATAGTAAAACCAAAAAAGTTGTTGGTTTTTAATAGTTTCTGAAACAAAAACCTAGCAAGTTTTTCCACTTACCATTTCTTGACGGATTTGGCCGTGTGTTTAGGATCATTATCCTGTTGGAAGATCCATTCCTGCCCAAGACCAAGTTTTTCGGCGGATTGCTTAATATTTTAACTGAAGATCTTAATACACTGGTACTGTTTCATAGTGTCATTAACTTTAACAAGGTTTCTGGGCCCATTCGCTGAAAAGCAACCCCAGAGCATGATACTCCCGCCACCGTGTTTGACTGTTGGGACCGTTTTTTTCGGTTGAACACTTCACCTTTTTTACGCCTCTTACACTTCTCTAACCCAGACACACAAGAAATCATCTAGCCTTCGCAAAAGCTCACCTGGATGAAGATATAACCTTCTGGCTGTCAATGTTATGGACAGATGAAACAAAGATGCAGCTGTTTGGGCACAGAGATGTGGCTTTTGTTTGGTGTAAGAAAGGTGAAGCGTTCAACCTGAAAAACACGGTCCCAACAGTCAAACACGGTGGCAGGAGTATAATGCTCTGGGGTTGCTTTTCAGCGAATGGGCCTGGAAACCTTGTTAAAGTTAATGACACTATGAAACAGTACCAGTATATCCAGATTTTCAGTAAAAACATCAAGCAGTCCAGCGAATAACTTAGTCTTGGGCAGGAATTGATCTTCCAGAAGGATAATGATCCTAAACACATGGCCAAATCCATCAAGAAGTGGTTAGTGGACAACAAAGTGAATGTTTTGGAGTGGCCAAGCCAGAGCTCCATCCTCAATGCCATCCAGAATCTGTGGAGGGAACTGAAGACCAAGGTCATGGCAAGGAAACCCTCAAACCTTAAGGACCTGGAAAAGTTTTCCATAGAGGAATGGGCCAA